TAATGTGCATCGCTATTAGTATCAAGTGCATCGCTACTAGTAGCTTCTAATGAAAAACCAGCCTTTCAATGACTTCAGAAGCCAAGATCTAAGTCTGCTTGTCCTTTATCTGCGACTTTTCCACCACATCGTGACACAATACTTCACATCCGTATCCTTGGCTGTGATGCTTGGTTTTACAGGAAACTGTGCAAAATCACCGGGCCCTTTCCAAATGGCAATCCCTGCGTCGTATCTTCTATTGCAAAGCATGCCAAATCCGTCCAGCCCCCGGAGTACAGATTTCACGTTCTTTCTTTGCGTGGATGTAAGAGACTCCAACATGGCATGCTTTGTGTACGGCGCTTTTCCAGTGGCTTGGCCCTCTTGCGGTTCACCTAGGACCACTGCTATCGCGGCCAATGGTCAACTCCAACAGGGTCTTGTCCTCAAATGGACACCACACTATATAAGTGAAATACACCTGTTTGGATTGGTAGACTACTATTCAATCCGCCAACCTCTACCGGACTCTACCGCCTGTACCCAAACGATTCAGGCGGCTCAAGTTATCTGGTACATCACAAGTTGTAACCTTGAACACTCAGGTCAGTTGAGATTCTTCAAGGCTTTTGCCGACCGGTCCCTTTCGGTTTTGATTAGTCAACATCCCGGTCCCCCAAAACTAATGGAGGATAATGAATAGTTGAGGTGTCCCCCAAAACGCTCCAGGGAGTTTGGCCTGTCCTTCAGAAAAACAACAGGACATGAAGAGCTCTTCCCTTTTTTGAATTGATTCTGGAAAAGGACATCACAACTGGATTCATACCTTCATTGTTCCGAACCCCTAAACAGTTCATAGAAACATGAGGAAACAATTTTACCCCGAAAGGAAACAAAAGAACATCAAAAGGAACCTCGGTCGTGATTTCTTTTATTGCATGGAATATTCTATATACATTGTTCCGAACCCTCAAACAATTTATGTAGCAAATCAATTCCAGGGTGCTTGTAGACTACCCCCTCGAAAAGTTGTTTTTGGCATTGCTTTGTTGCAGTTTCAATAAGGAGCTTTGATAAGGAGGTCAGCTCAGAGTGCCGGGACCAAACACAAACTAAAAATAAGCAAGGAGGAAATCAACAAGGAACCTGAGTAGTGGTGGTGGTGGTGGTGATGGTGGTCAACTAAACCAGCCAAAACAGGGGAGGACAAATGAACAACTTCCAAAACATGATGTAGAAAAAAAAACCTTTAAAATTCCAACTCAAAACAATGCAAGGGGTCTGAAATATTTTTGCGAAACAAAGCATATTCTTCAAAACAACATCAGCTGGCCTACCAAAAGGAATCATATAGCACCAACATGAACATGTACCAACCGTCACACCAAGCAGTGGCCATTCGAGCAGCCAGCGCTGAAGATTCGTGCTGCGACTTTTCCAGTTCGGCCGGTGCCAATGATGCCCACCTGGAGCAGCGAGACGGAACTTTTTGATTTCTTTTCGAGCAGCGATGACCTCAAGTGCGAGTCTAATACGGTGCGGCCTTCTTGCCGATCATGTCGAAGCCAAGCAAGCCGTTGAGCTCAAAGTTGCAGCGCCTCCGTTGAAGTTAGAAGGTTGAACGCCATTATAAAAGACAAATTACACCAGCATCGAGCCCGAACAGCAGCGGCAGATTAATGTTTTGCCGCCAGTTTTGAGCTATGGGAGACAAAGGAAGACAAAGCAGATTCATCTTTGCCCATCATCTAAGAAGTCGTACATCTTGCTATTAGGGTGGAGGCCATCGCTATTAGAAACAAAAGCACGCTCCCAAGAAGGGCGGGAAACCACGCAGAATCCACTCATCCACGGGAGACAAAGCAAGGAAAAAGGCCAGAAATCATCACCCAGGCCCAGGATCGTCTCCAAGTACTGAGAACCCTCACAGCAAAGCTGTTTGGGAAACTACGAAAACAAACAAAGCAAAGTGCCAGTTCACTAAAGGCGGAATGCACTCTGTCATCCATGTGTGTTGCTGACTGTAGAAGCTAACGACAAAACAGCCTCAACAGCTGGTCTCAAACTCAAGCTGCCAAGCAATCTGATGAAAAGTCGCCTTCAACGGGGTAGAGGACGCTACTAGGAGCAAAGGGCATCGCTACCAGGAGCAAGGACGCTATTACTAGGGGCTCTTGGCCTTACTACTAGGAGCAAGGATGCTACTAGGGGCTCCTGGCCTTACTACTGGGAGCAAGGACGCTACTCGGGGCTCCTGGCCTTAGTACTAGGAGCAAGGACGCTTTTTGGGGGCTCCTGGCCTTACTACTAGGAGCAAGGACGCTACTCGGGGCTCCTGGCCTTACCACTAGGAGCAAGGACGCTACTCTGTAGGGCTCTTGGCCTTAACACTAGGAGCAAGGACGCTACTAGGAGCTCCTGGCCATACTACCAGGAGCAGGGCTACTAGGAGCTCCTGGCCTTATACTACGAGGAGCAAGGACGCTACTAGGAGGTTGTGGCCTTACTACTAGAAGCAAGGACGCTACTAGGGGCTGGGCCTGTGGCCTTGCTACCAGGAGCAAGGACGCTACTAGGGGCTACTACTAGGAGCAAGGACGCTACTAACTACTAGGAGCAAGGACGCCACCAGGGGCGCCTGGCCTTGCTACTAGGAGCAAGGACGCTACTAGACGCTCCTGGCCTTGCTACTAGGAGCAAGGACGCCCCCCTAGTACAGGCGCCTTCCTACTAGGAGCAAGGACGCTACTAGGGGCTCCTGGCCTTACTACTAGGAGCAAGGACGCTACGAGGAGCTTTTTCGCATGCATTTCACGCTTTTGACACTCACTAGCATCATGGATCTCATCAAAACCGGGCTTGATCTCTTGGACCAAGGGAGCACAGCCGGTTAGGCAAATGTAGCACAACAAACGGAAACAAACATTCAACAAAACAACATATATACATATATTTATACATATACATAGACAATATACAGGTTTCCATTGTCTATGCCGTCCATATAAGTCCAAAACACGGCCCAATTGCCCCATCCTTCATCTGTTGTTTCACCACTAGTATCCGCAAACAAAGATAAATTTGACTCCGTTCGTCTGGCCTGGTGTTCTCCACGGCTTGTGGGATGCATCGGATCACGGAAGTGGCCAAGGCCACGGCATGCTCGCCAGTGGAAGAGGCACTGTAGCCCGGCACGTGAGTCACAGTGAGCCCTGCGAAGCGGTGAATGAGAATCGTCCTGCGAAGCCTTAGACTGTTTTTACAAATCGATTGGGGATTTCAGGGGTGAACAATTGCTATGTCTTAGTTTCGGGATCGAGGAACATGGTCAACACGTTCACGTAATTTAAGAAGAACTGTACTCGGAGAAGACTGACCCGAAAAATTGAGATTAAGTAACTATTTGCAGCAAAAGCAACCTTTTGGACTCTAAACCTGCAGAACCTGCTGAGTTGACCCAGCATGGGCCTAGTTCATCGGCCGCATCTTTGTCCACATTGTTTGTGCCACTGCAACGTAGACCCAACATCTTCACCCCCTGGGCTTTCAGCGCTTTCAGCACCCTGGGCAACGGCACGACGCCCTCTCATTGGAACGCAGACTCTTTCTCCATTTTGCTTGCGGCAAAATGCAAACTTTCTGCGCAGCAGAACACTCCCCAGCTTCACATGACCTCTTCAAGCCAGGTCTCTCAGCCGACGCGTCGTCATGCACGAAGATGCACACTCCCTGCAGTGGTCAAAGCAGTCACAAGGCGTTCACAGCAGTGCTTGCAGTCTTGTCTCATCGCACATGTTGTCCACAAACTCTTTCAGTCCAAACTGTGAAGTTGTTTCAACATGACCCAAATCGTACATACCCTCATTCTAATATATCAGTATATATATATACATCAATATATATGTATATATATATATAGAGAGAACTGCTCGCACTAACTTGCGTTGGGCGATGTGGGTGTTGTCAGGGTATGCGCATGTACATGTACATGTACATGTGTGTGTACGTGCTATGTGTGTATGTGTGTATGTGTGTATGTATGTATGTATGTATGTATGTATGTATGTATGTATGCGTGTATGTATGTGTGCACGTGTGTGTGTGTGTATGTATGTATGTATGTTTGTATGCTTTTACTCTCGTCCATGCCGCGCTTGTTCTCGTGCTCACTGGAGGTGGCAGGCGCACGGGGATCGTTTTCTTTTTTGAATTTCTTCCTCACCTCCTTCGGTTCGGCTGCGGTTCATGGCCGCATTGTTGGAGCATAGTGAAGTGAGTGAAATGCAGCCTCTTGGGCCTGGGTGCAGAGAGTTCATCTGTCGGCCTAGCCGCAGTCCTGTTAGCCGGAGTGGCCTGGTATGGCACCTGCGTTCTTTCCGGAGGTTGCTGGTCAGGATGAGGCGACCTTCTCGACCACAGGCTGCCTGGATCCCGCAGAGCTGGCAGGTAATCTTGCGTCGGAGGCGCCAGAGTGGTGGCTTGCATGTCCTCCATGGTCAGCGGGAAAGGCTTCATTGGTGCAGTTGCTGTTGACGAAGGAAATAAACTGCGAAAACGACTGGAAACCAGATTTGAAAAGTCTTCAATTCAGATTTAACATCTGTCCATATACCTGGCTGTGTCTTTCTGCTACACTCTCGAATGTGGATGCAAGTCTTTTTGGTACTCCAAATCTTAGTTCTCACTTAAATCCAAATTTAACCTGTTCTCATTCGTGTGTACTTCATTGGCGCGCTTGTGCGCCGAGCTACCACACTTGTTGCACTTGAGATATCCGGTAGTTTCCAGGAACTCATGCCGGTCAGGTGTCGGTGGATGTTCTTGTTGTTGATGGTCTGAGCCAGGGTGATCTTGTGGCCCGTGGGTTTTGCAGGCTGGCAGAGCAGAGTATCACCGGCTTCGATCTGAAGTTGTGGGCAGTCTGCCTCCAATGACTTCCACTGTCATCCCCTGATGGACACGCGCCTGGCAGCTGGTGCACTGGTAGCCGCTGCGGTGCGGCCGCCATCGATGTTTGCTAGCTTGCCAGGGTTGTTTGCGCGTGTTGGTGAGTTGCTTTTTGTATTGCTTGGTCTGCTTGCCTTGGTGGCGTGGTGCCTTGGTATACATAGTGCAAGGGATCCTGGAAAATGGCTTCCAATCTGCCTATCGCATGTTGGTAGATGGTGAGGTGGTCCTGATCCAAGGTGGCTTGCCAGGCCTCTTGCTGCTTGTTGTGCAGCGCGTTTGCTCTCTCCCATGCAACAAGGCCAGCATCACGTTGGCATCGCCTAAAGTGTTTACGACCTGGGGGTTGCGGCTGACATAGATGCCGTTGAAGTCTTGTGGGGCCAGCCAGATCCATGAAGCCCTGCCGTTTGTCGCTATTGGTCCAGGCTTCCCAAACCGTCGCGCGATGACTCTGACTGATCCCAATGCTTGTTTGGCCAAAACCACCAGTCCGGCAAAAGAGGGCGCGTGCGTCGTAGGACGTGGGAGCTGCGTCCAAAGTGTAGGCCCGACCCTGGCAGTCATTGACTTCAAGGACCTGCAGCTGACTCCAACATCCATGGCCTTGAAAATCATGTGGCCGGTGTAGGTGATCCTGTGGCTCTACTGGGATCCACCGTACGTCCACAAAGGTTCCTCGTCGTGGCCCATGATGCGGTTGGCCCAGTCCGCTGGCATGGTTGGTGTCCTTGACCATGATGCCGTTTGCGCAGCCTGTACCCATGTCTTGAGGTACTTGTGTTTGGCTTTGGGAGTCTGCTGCAACATCTTGCGATAAACCGTCCAATCCATCTCCTGGTGCATGGAGCCGGTGCTCGATCTTCCACCACGGGTCTTGACTTGGAGTCTGGGAGATTGAGTTGGGCGGCCACTTGGTATTTGTTTCAGGTCTGTGCCAATGGAAGAGATCAGTCGTCTCCCAGCCCATTCGTGCATGTAGACGATCGCTGCCATGAGTTGCCAGGGTATGAATGGCTTTGATGTGCTGTTGGACAAGCAACTAATGTGCACTGTGGTGGATGACAGCAGCGCTCCAGTTCCTTTGGGTTGCTTATGCACTGTTGCAGGGGATTTGCAAACACAGCATCACACTTCCAGTTTTGATCTGCGCTTTTTCACTACGAGCATTCAGTGCAGTTTTGCCCAACAATGCGCTACCCACGTCCCAGCTGATCTTGATCAGACCTCAGTCGCCTCGGGCCATGGCAAGACTGCTCTGAGCATTGTGGGAGGAGCAAGCCAACACGCTCCCCTTCCTCTACAAGCAGCAGCCTTCCCAGAGACGACCGTGCAGTATGACTATGCAACAACGACAGACCTCCTGATTCAGAACCTCACCATGATCGTGCACAGGAAAGTCGTCCGGAAGCAGCAAGGGGGCAAAGAGCTTGTCACAGATCTTGATCTGGCCAAAGCAGCCGACAAGGGTGAAGCTCCAGTTGAGGTCAAGGTGTCCCTGAAGTTGAGGCATCGGTCAGGTAGTCGTCAGGAAAGGATCTCGGTCACGGTGTCCTTCGCTATTACGGGCAAAGACCAGTGCTCTCCAGGAAGTCAAGCCGCCGGTTATGTGGCAAGTGGGGTGTTGCACGAGCAGGACTTTGTGGGGTGCCTGCTTGAACACTTGCGGCTTGAGCCATATATGTATGTAATGTAATGTAATGTAATGTAATGTAATGGTATGGTATGGTATGGTATCGTATCGTATCGTATCGTATGTATAGTATAGTATAGTATAGTATAGTAGAGTAGAGTAGAGTAGAGTAGAGTAGAGTACAGCACAGTACAGTACAGTACAGTACAGATGTATGTCGCCCCGCTCCGAATTGCCGGTCTCCTGGCACCAAACCTATCTTGATCGAAAGCCAAGTCGTTCTATTGACACCTGTGCTACCTCTGTACTACCTCTGTGCTACCTGTCTCCAAGTGCAGTTCCAGCGCTACACTATCCACACTCCGCCATGCCACCTGCCTGGGCGCCTTTCACCAGGTCCACGCTTTCCATGGTCAAACGACTCTTGTAGAAGTCAATGGTGAAGTTCCCCTTGAACTCCTGCAAAGCGACCCACTCGTTGGAGCACCGATTAGGTGTAGCACAGGGAGATGAGGATTATTGATTTATCTTTCCTGGTTTCGGCCACCTTAGTGCGTAATGGCTAAATGCGGCTAAATGCTGATAGAAGCGGGACACTATAATGGAATTTGAGTCGGGCACCTCCATTCTTAATTAGATGAGCCGTGGCCGTGCTCTGAGGGGCCCAAAGGGAACCAATTTTCGGATCTTCGGTTCAACCTTAGCCGCTTTGGAATTCTCCATCCCAGACTCTGTTGCATTCCAGCCCAAACAGTCCAGTCTGACACTCGAACAACTAAAACTGAGTAGCCAGGCAAATGGAACAGATCTCTGGGTGAGTCTATCTTCTCGATGCGGATCACAAATGATCACAAAATATCACAAGGTATCGAAGGGTCTTAAAGTACTCTCCCTTTGAGATCCTGAACCTCCACGGCGCGGCGACCTCGGGCTCGTCGGGTTCATGCCTCGTTGCCCTTCTGGAAGGCCTCGATCTCCGTGGGCGTGGCGGAGAAGAACGCGATGCGAAAAGTATGATCGGCGTTCTCGAACGCCGGGAAGTACTCGGCCTGGATTCGGAGCAGGTAGAAACTCGGGATGGTAACAAAGGGCATCGCTACTAGGAGCAAGGACGTCACTAAAAGGGTTTATTTTTTTCGGGCCAAGTTCCAGAGCTTCCCCTACAGTTAATTGAACAATATTCAATACTTACTTAAGAGGATCCTTTGGTACCATCTGTCTACAGATTCAGTATGTATTGACAGGATATCGGCCATGTAACACATGATTTGCAGTGATTTGCATACTCAGGGTCTGTGAAACATTCAAGGCGGCGCAGGGGTCCTTTCATCACCGGCTTTGGATCTGGCCTTTTCACATGGCTTCTTCCAAAAGATAATCGTGCCACACTGATTTGTCGTGTCCCTCCTCATTGCCGCAGCGGCCTTCATGGGATGTACTGGAGGAGGAAGGCTTTGCATAAAACTCATTGCAGCTGCTTGGGTTTCTTTACGCTGCACGGAAGGTTCCTGTTTAGGAGGCAAGCAAACCTCGATGCGTGGTGCTTTGCACGTCGTGAAACTGAAGAATTCGCTTTGACAGGGTCAATTAAGAGAGAAAGCTCAGTCTCCCACCTGGAGAAACTAGACGGAACTTCAAGTGAGAGTGTGACTCATCATTGTGCCACATCCTCGAGTACTCCAAATAGCTACGTAAGGATGTGGAGCCCTTTCTAGGAGCTTCATTAACCTGTTTACACCCAGTAGTAACAATTAAACTCAACACACATATGTAAATATCACATGCGACGAATGTGCAAAAAGGCCATTAAGTCATTGTAGTGAATGCACCCTTTCCAATGATCAAAATAGTTTTGAACGACCGTGAGATGTATCCAAGAGCAACACTGGTCAACCGTGTGAGAACACCCGTCAAACAGTAAAACATATTTAAGAGGCTTCAGCGTGCTAAGACAAGCGTATTGCATCTCTGAGATCGTCCTTCCTAAACATTTCAAGTTCTACTATCTACACTCAACCGCAAAACTTGCAATTGCTCAAGGGGCAATTCCATTGTTGGGACTCTGGACAGCAGGAACATAATTGATACAGCCTGCTACCAGAAATCGGTGGGTCTTTGAGATTGTGTGAAGCTAACAAGAAGCAACATGGTTTTTGTTGCTCTTCCTTCCACTCTGCGATCAAAGGCGCACAATCCAACTTGCCATTCTGCTTAGGTGGCCCGGAGCCTTCACGAACGCCTTGACGCAAGGAAGGTTCGGATCAATCATGATAGATGAGAAAACCATTCACAAGAACATCACACAGCTATACGCTATAATATTTGACATATGGCCATCTGCTGTTTATCATACAGCTGCTTTAGGGATACGTAAGTTCACAACATGCATGTTACCATGAAAGCCATCCAGGAAATGAGCTTTCACCGTGCTTCTTGATGTTTGTCGGCGAACGCTCCCCGCCAACAGTCCAAAAAGTCACCCGGGTCCAAAGGTGTACTGGCTTCGAATTTACATTCTCAGGTTTCGATGACCGGGTCTTGGAGTATTTGTTTGGCCACTTGCCAACATGCGCAAAACACCTCCAGCTTACCTCCAAGAAGTGGGCGCGGTACATTCCTTTGCAAGCTTGAACCAATCTGAAGAAGCCCTTCCTTCCAATCATCAAGCCAAGATTTTCAACTGATGCCATGAGTTTGACACCTAGGTCTGACATCAGCAGACTTTTGACGTGCATAGCTTTTTGTTTGGAGCACAAATACTTCATCCACCAAAATTCCTGCAATCACGCTTGACCGAAAGGAATCCATCGACTGCCGTCGGACTAGACCTGGCCTGCCATGCTCTTCAAAGAGGTGTCGGAGATTGTCTTCAAAGCTTCCTAAAACGTGTCGGAGAAACGGTCGAAACAGGATGTCGAGCCGATGCCCAGTCCCGTTCGAGGTGCCACATCCCGTACTAGCTTGACCAACTGACTCCAACAACGTCTGTTCTGCCCAAGGTCTCTTGTGATACAACCTTCTCTATTCACAAAAGATTTCCTTGGCCGCTTGGCACTCCAAGAACCTAAATGAGCCTAGTGTCTCGTGTGAAGAAGGCCAAGTGCGGCGTCAAAAGGACATTGGGCATCCGCAACAGCACGGCGATGTTCTCGTCTGTGATCCAGCTTGTGGAGAAGTTCCTGAAAGAATCTACACTCGAGACTGGTAGTCGCACTCGGTGGCTGGTTGTTGATGGATATCTGTTTATGGATAGCTGTTTGGATTTCAATGGAATCATGATAGGTTCTCTTAAAAGGGCGACATATGGAGATGCTGCGTGGTTCATCTTTGTGGGAAAATCTTGCAGGTTCCTCCTAGCATTTTTGAAGGGCTGTATTGCAAGTGAAATGTTACAGTTAAACATGCGCCATAAAAAGCCGCTTGCAAAATGTGATCCGCCAATGTATCGCAAAAGCAAAACAGATGGGATCAAGAAAGTAGCCTTACATGATCTTACATTTAACCAAACAGAAATGGAACCATATTGTACCCTGATATCAACAGAATACGACATCATTTTACTCTGAGGATCCTGAATTGCTTTTCAGATTCGCATTCCAGTGCCTATGCAAACTCTACGCGTCCATCGCTTAAAGCCTCTATGCCTTCCTGTTGTCCTGCTCCTTTTCCTTTATATATCTGAAGCATTTCCAGTCCATCATTCCTCCCTTTCTGCTTTGCGTTCCTCCGCTTCTGGTGTCTCCATCAATGCCTTCTTTAGTCTGGACATGCTAAACAAAGGACAGGTGACATGACCAGGCACGTCAGCCAATCTCAGGGTTGTGAACGGCAAGCTACAGCCTCACATCGACCCACGTCGAGGCCTGAAGAAGTACGGCGCTTCGTTCTCGACCACATCCATGGCAGCCCCGCCAATCGTGCCGTCCTTCAAGCCTGAGGTAAGTTGCGATAGAACTCGGGCTGGTAGCAAGAGCAGCGCCCTTGAAAGTTTTATTCAGGGTTGGTACCGTAGGTAGTACAATTTCTGGTAGCTCTGTGCACACCTGGCTCACGGACGGGGCCACGCTTTCGATACCTCACCAGAAGTAAAACAAACATACCTGGCATACTGGTGATGGTAGTTGGGAAGATGAGGACTGACAAATTCCAGGTTCACGGTCTTCTTGGTTGATACATACTTCAAGAGAGACACTGGAACTACATTGTCTTGGTTTCTCTGACCAACTGAACCAAAACTTTTTTGATGCTTCTACTCTTTCTATCAATGATTAACAATCCAAGTCGCAAAGGGCATCTTTGCTTCAGCCAATTCCAAACCACCTCTAGTAAGCTTTCGTAAGGTGAGGTGTGCCATAACAGGGGAGCACCAAGGGAACAAACAAAAAGAGACACCCATCCATATACAACTGATGTGTCAAAATTTGCTCATCCTGGGTCATCAGTCAAATTGGACGGTTGTCACCCTTGGCATTGTACTTTCCCGATCTTGTTGCAAATGAATCTGGGATGAAGTGGCCAACTAGCAAGCCAGTGTTTTCCCAAGGCAGCCCCTCAAGCATCCAAACATACCCAAATGACACTCTGAAGCCTGCAACATTGTGCAACGCGCCTTGAATCAGTGCTTTGGTATCAATGAGTCCACCGCGGGAGGTGTTTACAATCCTGGCATCAAGTCAAATCGTACCGAAACAACTTATGGACGCAAGGCGTGCACACCCAAAGACGCCCATAAAGGACTCCCAAAGATTGAACTTTTACAGCTTCAAAAACAGGAGCTAACAAAGCTCAATCTTTCTCGCGGCTGTTGCTCTGCGATACAGAAGAACATGCGCATGCTATGCTAGGTCCTGTATTTGCGCTCTGATGGGTTAGCAAAAAAAAATTGTGTGTTATGCAGGGTGTTACAGCGTTACAAATCATTGTAATATAACACATTACAAAACATGTACACCAAACTCTCCTTTTCTTCTCTTTTCTTTCTTCCTTCAGACCTTTATATGACGCTTTTCTGTTTCCTCCTTTGTTTTGACTCACATTCTGGTGGGTGATAGTTGATCAATGGGATTGAAGGATATTGAAGGCATGTCGGTGCACCTGGTGTTGCCTGGAGTATGAGTCGAGACGCTGAAAATCAATACAGCGATCAGCTCGGATAGAAGTCTACTGACCCTGTGCACCTTCAAACACACATCATTTATATGACGTTGATGAAGACGGAGGATTGATTGCTTTAAACGTTCTTTAGACTCTGTCGCTTGGCCTGGCAGATGTGCTTTCGGGAGCATTACGTCCTGTCGCTGACACCGCCTCAAGCGCTGCCGTGCGTCATGATGCCCTTCTTCATGATCTTCAACTTGTCAAAGTTGATCATATGCTTCGTGGATGGCAGAAGTGGTGCATGCAGAGAGATGAAGTCACAAGTGGAGAGCAACTCATCCAGGGACACGTAGGGAATCGCCAAGCCTGCCCACGAACGGAGGACGGCAAAGATTTCGGCAATAAGCAGTGTTGTTTCAACGGAAGGGTCAAACACAACTTCGTCTCGATCTCTTATATTCACCAGGACAAACGTTTTTCTTGGAGTCCGATTCTGTTAGAATCCTGCAAGACGCTTATGTCACCTCAACTCACACGGTTGACTTCCTCCTGAAGTATAGTATGGTTCACATAGCGCAAGTCTTGTGCACTAAATTTCTTAGGGCAAATAGTTAAGCAAATCCATTTGGATAAACGTTCGGCACGCGAGTTCCACCACTTGCGGACTCAACAAACACCGCGCTGCTTGGTTCCATCGTGATCTTGCAGATCGCCTTGAGGCTCTGGATCCTTGATCTTTGGGTTTTCCTCACAGCCAGTCAAGACATATCTGCATGAGACTGAGCTGTTTAGCTGATTGCATTTGCTTCTCAACCTGGGAGGTTCTAAATGGCTCTAAAATGTTCTAAGTCCTTTCAGAGTAAAGTGATGGTACCACCCCCAATATGTATCCAAAAAACCATGCGCTTGCGCTTCCTGTCATCTCCTGTCTTCCTAGAGGTGAAATTGGCAGTTTGCTTACATCAGGTTTATGGCATTTCCGAGTTTAGAGCTCCATTTCCATTCTCAAAGGTTAGGTGGAGCCAGGACAGGAACTAAATGACTAACCTGGACAGTTGCTGTCAGGCCCGCATATGATTGAGCACTTGTTGAGGCCAGTGCGCTAAACAGTTTCTCTCCAAACCCAACAGCCGCCAAACAGGTTGGAACAGGTTGGAACCTCATTCTTGCAAACAAACAAGGCGTTTTTGCGACAACTTAAGTCTAGATTTCAATTGTAAAAGCTTGAGACCGTACTTTTCTTCGGTTTCGCGCCCTCCAAACGCACAACTATCTTGCGCTTCACCGGCCCTAGCAGTCTTAGAGTTTGCAATTGTCGACTCCAAACAACAGAATGCGTGTAGGGCAGCATGGTTTGGCTAGGTTAAGCTTCAAAACGACCTGGCAATGCAAATGGCAGTTTTTGGCTTCACACTAATGCGTTTTCTGTTTTGTACAAGAGCTTCTGCATCACAAAACGCACAAGCTCAACTTGTGGGTGGCTAGAACAACTATGCTTGCACTTGCACCCAAAATGCCCCAGGAGCCTCCCCAAAGGTTCGTTGAGAACTTCAATTCCTCCACTCACTGTCTGATTGAACAGTCACAGGTCTCCTTATCTGTATGCCTTCAACTTAACGTTAGGACATCCATGACATCCACTAGGTCCGAGAATCAAAAACGTCGTAGGCGACAACCTCACATTCAAAGCCCTTCCTGAGGGGAGCGGTGATGAGAGGTGAGCGGTGAGCCCGTGAGTGGAGAGCTTCCGAAGGAGGCTCCTTGAGGGGCACCCTCTGCAAACCATGGAGTTTGTCTTCGCCTTACACCCCAGACCTGTTATTTTACAAACAGCTTGTACTCGTCTTTGTCATGACGTGACATCGGCACGTTGGTTGACGAAATACTTCTAGCACTTCTAACTAGGCTCTTGCAGGATTGCAAACTTCAAGCTACAGTAGCTGCCTCAACAGAATCAACACTATTTATGTCGTATGCCACTCATGTGCTATGCTAAGCTGCTATACACTGTATTACACTCTTGCCAAACTGGTATCTACATACCAGCGGTTTGTGGGAAACCATCGGACCCAGTCCGCCACAAAGACTGACCTCGGTCTGCCCTCTGCCAAGTGTCTTCATGACCCGAGCTGTGATGGATCCGATCAAGCCTGGTCCGCCGTCAAGTCATGGAGTTGTTTGAGAACGCCCTCCTTTACCCAATAAAATGCCGTGAACAAAACCAATTGGGAGGTGCCTACAGGTCGTTACTACTCGGCAAGCCGCCGTCTTGTTGCGTTCGACCTCACAGCGTGAGGGGACAGTGTCCCTGCCTGTACCAATGATGCCGACCCTCTTGCCATGCAAGGTTTGTCCTAAATGACAAGACGTGCAACGGTGAGTCTGTTTTGCAAAGCCTCTAGTCACTCTCTTCTTGGAAAAAATACGTCTGTACGCTGAGTCGCTGAGCTTCCAAAATCGCATTCCATGAACAAGGCATGTGTATGCATGTGTAGCTAATTTCCAAGCGGCCAATCATTGCACCGTTCAATGAGAAGTTCCCCATGCGTGAGTTCCGGTAGGACCGTGCGATTTGCCGATTCCTCGGAATTGGACAATTCGTGACATCACACACGTCGTGACACAATGTGACACATCCAAGGATCAGTGACAGCATCAGTGCAACGGCATGCTCGCCAACGGCATACGGGCCTCAGAGAACCCTGCTGGAGGAACCAAGTAGACACAAACCTCCACTGACTCATAGAGACCTCCAAGCTTAAGAGATTGCTCAACGGCCTGACGTGAGCCTAGTTGTCTCTGGCTGCTCTATCTATTTGAGCCAATATAAATAGGCCATGTTTAAAGCCAAGCAGCTGTAGGCCGGCACCCGGGCCACAGTGATGCCAAACTGCTCCGCCGCTTTGAGATCCACGCGGTCAAAGCCAGCGCAGCGCAAGGCGATCATCTGAACGCCCAACTGCCGAACAAAGTGCTGGTGCATGCTCGTGCTTTGATCGAAACTGGAAATCACAGACGGAAAAGATATGAAGAGACTGTTGTTTGGAATCTTTTTCGCATATAGCGCCTCAGTAAGCTTCTTGGCTTCTTGGTGTTTCTGTTGTGGTCAGGGATACTCTTCTTTATGTACTTGATTCGAATTTTGTTTTTCAGTCTTTGAATGAACATGTACTGTAAAAGTAGTCTCCCTAAAATAGCTGCTATGCTATCAACCAGGTCTCAATGACAGGGTGTCCTTTCTGACTGAGGCTGTGCAACTGTTGACCTTTCCAGCTGCCGCCAAACACAAACAAACTGTCTAGGGCGACTGCTTCCAATGCCGGTCTCTTCATACTTGAACATGGCGTAATGTCTTGTACAAGAACCCAACCTGATGGAGAGCTTCCACGACATCAGCGCCTGTGAAGTGCAGCATCACTGACATCGTAAGAGCGATGGCCTCCAACCTACTAGCGATGGCCTCCATCCTAGGTTGTGGGACTGTGAAAGGCCATTCATGCCGCCTGCAAAGTCGTTCACAAAGGTACACACCGCATCACAACCTTCCGCCAGCTTCACGGTGTCCTGAAGCAGCGGCTTCTTGGACCTCATTGACCTGTCACCTGCCAAGTAGGTTCTCAACTTCGCCAACTTTTTGCGTTCCCAACTTTTGGATAGTTTAATTTTCCTGCACTGCATGTTTGGAGACTCCCTCACATTTCCATTTAGTTGGGATGGGTTCTGGTTTTTTCCGTGAGCAAGCGCCGGCCAAAGCTGCCTGCCACAGACTCTTCTATACATTGGGGTTCTTGTTTTGTATAAAGCTGAGTGATCTGGTTTGACCCGGTCAGACCTGGGCAGAAACAGACTTAGATATCTGTGTAAGGTTCGAAAAGGACTCAGCCAACCGACTCGACCTTGGAACTTTGCTGAACACAACTCGCTGGCTTTATGGCTCAATGGGTCAAGATACATCAAGCTTTCTTTGGTGGTAGAAATCACACTCAGCCATCTTGCCACGTCGCAATGTTCAGCTGTTCCGTGTTGTAGGTGAACTCCATGTTGCTCCCGAGCTCCTGGAGAGTCAACTGGAGAGTGACTGGAGGACCCGTTGTCTTCATCGCTTTCAGTTGTCGGCTCGAAACTTGGGCATTTGGATTGGAGACCTCTTAAAAGCGGAAAAACAACATATATATATATACATATACATAATTTGGAGTGGCAAAGGAAGAGAAATCGAGGAACCAAATCATTAGTGCGAGCGCTTCCGGCTATCCTGTGTCCATTTACTTGAAGCTTAAGTAGCTAGGACCAGGCGCGAACAAGTTTCTCCCCTAATGACCAGGGCAGAGGGCCGAGCGTTCAAAAATGGGCCATCCCTGGAGATCCGCACCGGATGGCCTCGTTGGTTCGGTCGAACCACTCCCGATCATAAGGAGCACAAGAGAAGATGGCCACCTGGACGGAATGGACGGAACTGGAAACGGTCGAACCTTCGTATTCCGTGGGATTCCTCCGTTTCGAGGTTTCCTATGGTTTCCGTTTTCTCAATGCCAGATTCTTAGATTGCATGCTTGGTTTCTAAG